CCAATTCCAGAGCTTCCCAATGGACGAAGGTATGCAATGGAGGCGCCAAAGGCAATGATACGAGCAGGACTCGCCCAGCCGGGCGAATTGTGGCTGGCAACAGCAGCAGTCTACGGCTTCCAGCGGAGCCCGAAGTGGTGGAGTCAGCATAGGAACGCCACAACCAAAACAGCAACCTGGAAATCTCCGAAGGGTGGATCTATGAAGGTTGTTCCGTGCATCACCGACGACAACCTCCACAAGCTCGTCGAGGTGCTACCGGACGGTGAGCATATCGTGGGGTACGTCCTCTTCTACGTCGATGACACCTTAGCAGTGGGACTTCCTGAGTATGTCCACGGCTTCTACGATTGGTTGGAAGCTACATGGGAGACCAGTGGAAGAGAGCAAGTATCCAAGGAAGGCGTAGTACGGTTTCTAGGTCTCGAGCTGTCATTAGACGAGGCTGGAAAGATGATGATTGGACAACGTGGCTACGTGGACGAGCTCTTGAGGAAGCGGGAAGTCACGACCTACAGCAAGGTGCCGTTTGTCAAGGAGTGGGCGACGGATGAGATCCCGAAGGACGCCGATTGCGCCCCGGAGCTTGTAAAGGAGGCCCAGCAACGGTGTGGTGAAATTCTCTGGGCTACCCAGCGGAGTAGGCCAGATGCGGCCTATGCGGCGATGATGATGTCGAAGCTGACAACAAGGTGGCCAGAGCGGGCGATAGTCATTGCCAAGAAGATCTTGACGTACTTCAATGCCACCCGGGAGGCCGGCTTTGTAATCGGACGTGATCTACCTCAAGGCTTGATGATGTTTAGCGACGCTTCCCACGCCCCGACGGGTGCCAAGTCAATCTCAGGAAGCCTGGTGATGTGGCGAGGGATGCCAATATGTTGGAGATCGGCCAATCAGGGCTTGACAGCCTTGAGTAGCGCTGAAGCCGAGCTCATAGCTTTGAGTGAGGGCACGCAGCTGGTCAGGGCAGTGCGAACGACCTTGGAGGACATGGGCATTTCTCCTGGGACCACGGAGCTACGAGTTGATGCGACAGCGGCTATAGCAGTGGCGAGTTCAGGTGGGAGTTGGAGAACACGACATCTTCGACTACGTGAACACTGGCTTGTGGAACTGGTGGACTCAAATCAGTACCGGTTAATCCATCAACCAGGACTACATCAACTAGCAGATGGCTTAACGAAGCAGCTGGCTGCTGAAAGGTCATGGATGCTTATGGGAGAGTGGGGCTTCACAAAGGGACCGTCAACCTCAATGAGGAGATTGGAGGTGGAGGAAGCAGCTTCTACCATGAGAGCGGGATCTCCATCGACTACAGCAGCAGCAGCCACAACCGCAGCAGCAATAGCCAACACAACAGCAACCGCGCATGGAGGGGCCCTTAGTAGGTGTATCCAGGTGGTTTTGGGGTTAGGTTTGGCAGCTGGAGCGAGTGGTCATGAAGCACTTCAACCTCATGGAGGCGTGGACTCGGACTATGAGCTATGGTTGGCTGTGATGTTGATTGCAGTGACAACAGTCGTGGTCTGGGAATGGAGCAAGAAAACAGCAGGTGGTGTCAAGAAGGTAGTGAAGATGAAGATGTTCAAGCCGGCTGACAGACGCGGACTCTCTAAGTCAGAAGGAAAGGAACTTCTGGAACTGTTGAGCTGCGATGATAGAAGTCGCGAACAGGAGGCGAGACTGATGGTGTTGGTCGGAAAGTTCAAGGCTCATGATCAAGATGCTTTGCCGAGCACTACGACTTCGCAATCTTCAGCTTCTGGACCTGTGAATCGGGGAAGAGACGCTATATCAGCTGGGGATGCAGGCCTGAGAGGCTTGTCGAACGAGAAGTTTCAGCCTGAAAAGTGGAGCAGAGGAGTTCAGACGGATCCCGTAGAGGTCCCTCCCGAAGCAATGATTCGTCCTTCTGTCGTTGACGGTGGGATTCGATATGTTGTGCAACCTTGGGAAGGCGACTTATACATGAGCCCCAATGGAGATCGGGTTCATCTGAGGCCAGACTGCCATGGACTCCGGAATGCTTCGCGAACGTCCCGAAAGCCAATGTGCCACTACTGTTTACAAGACTGGAGAAATCACCCAGCTCGCAGAGAGGGCTGAATAAGGTGTCTTCAGGCGGAATGATGAGTGATGGCTTCCCTTACGGGAGCATCAAGGAGGGGTGCAAAATACTCCTGAAGCCCCTCTTGTACAGGTACATGCTGGTGGAGCTGGTGTGTTGTCAGGACCTTTGTATTTGGCGCAGGAGCGAAGGCTCGAACACGTCAAAGCATGCGAGCATAACTAGCTGTGCACAGAAGCGCTAGGAGCTCAGGCATGTTGCTGTGTGAGTAAAAAGGGTTTAGGGCCGTGCGCTTGCCTTGATGGTTTTGGAAGGGGCTTCTGGGATCATCCAATAAAATTGGAACGATACTCAGGCGCCGTCGAACGAGGCTCCAAGAGGCTTCAGCTGAAGGGCCGAGGAGTCA